TCAAACAACTTCTATACAACGAAAGGAGACTGCGACCACACAAATGGCCACACCTTCTTGGTCTTCATATCTTAGCGTATTAAGTTGATAATAAACAAAGTAGCTCCAAAAAGCTAAAGACAGGCCCATAAATTAATCGCGATAGTGAAACCCAGGCGAGGTTAGACCATGAGGATTTTAATTCATTTCATCGGGGAAAACTCGGGTATAAGGTTTTCCTTTGTTTGGGCGACTAAGTTCATATATGAATTTGTGGGCCATATAATAGCACAGCTTATAATAGATTTGAAAGCCACAATTATGAATATGACTAACTCACATACGGGGCAACATGATAGCCGAATCCCTAAAGATCCAGCTGCCCTAGAATCGGTATAGACTATACTCGAGTCTATCTTTGGAATTTTGTATAAAATTTCATAATCAATGCAAGTATAAATACATTCCCAGACTAATAGCAAAGTCCTTTCCTTATTTTTTTCGAAATGTGACTATAAATAATTTCTGAATGACAGGAATGTTCTTTAACTAGGCTATAACAATCAATTGAAGACTGTCCTAATCCATTTAATCCCAAATTAATACCAAGAAGAGGTAATTTGCTATCTCACCCGAATTTGATTTGGTAAATGATTAGTATATAAGTTTCCGCAAGTGCGATCAACTTTTAACAACACAATTATCGATGGCATACTCTCGATTCTTAAAGGAAGAATATAAAAAATATTTATTGAGAGCAAAAGAGCCAAAAATTGTAAGTGTAAAGATTTTATTTAATCATCATTCTATAAGAAAGTATGCATACAAAAGCCAAGCTGGGAGAAAAGGATGGAATGGAATTCTTATCGAGTGATACAGTCCTCCTCATAATGAGCATCTGTTGTACTCTTTTTGGAGCGTCCACACGATAGCGTGCTTATAGGAATTGTGAGATGGTAGATAATGATGAAAAAATAAGATATCTGCCGTTCTCTTGATATCGGAATTAGAGGAGGCTTCATTTCAATAGTGGCATCTTCAACGGATAGTAAACTCTCAGACAGGTGATTAGAGCTATTTGCTCGAGTTAGCAGGAGAAAGCAATAGCCTACTCGTAAGTCTGTATATCTGACTTTTCCGATGCCTCCGACTTTTCGACCTTGTCACTCCTGGCACTTCGCACCACAACTTCAGAGGCTTTCTTTGCAAAGTCAATGTTGACTGATAACGTGCGCACTGCTTCCTCAATAGTGTCCTTATCTGATCCGGGCTCTAGGCCCTCGAGCAGGGCCAACGGCAAAAGTTGAGACTCTGTTTGCTTCCCTTTCGCGCTGCTTGTTGTTAATGACCCCATCTGGATTTTCCCGTTCTCACCAGACTCCTGTTGGCCGAGGTTCGAATCATCTGGCCCTTCGCTCTCAGGAACCTCGAGTTCTGATATTTTGCCACCGCCGTAGACCTGGTGGATGAGTAGACCGATTTTTTCTTGTGTGGACCGGTTCTTACTAAGTTGCCTCCACTGCTCTGGTTTGCAGGGAAGTTTAAGAATGAGCTCATCCCAATTTGGTCTATTTGGTTAAATATGAATCAGGAGGCAAAATAAATAGATGAAATAAAAAGAGAATAAGTGGGTCCTTAAAGGTTATATGAAAATATCTGAATTGACTATCTCTAAAGGCGGCAGTAAATCTGGCTTTAAGACACATTTTCTTAAATAATTAATGTGACTGCAATTTTCAGTTCGTAGATATGAAGACCAAGATGGTGCAGCTTCGGACTTGTAACTATGAAAAATGGTAATTCTGTGCTTACGATTGCGCCTCTCACTGACGATGTCGATTATTATGCCAGCGAAACGTTTGGGAATGTACCCAGCCAATTGTTCAATCGAAGATTTTGTGTGGTTGCAGTCTCCTTTAGTTGTATAGAAGTTGTCTGACCTTGTTTTCGCAACTTGGCCATATTGGTAGGAAGACGTAGAGGAACGCACCTAGTCCGAAGTCCATTGTATGGATAATCATTTCCAAAGTCTGACCGTAGACGTGGTACATTCGCAGACGTTTCGCAGGCATCGTAGTCGGCATCGTCAGTGAGTATCGCCATTCTTAGCACCACACGACAACTCGTCAAAGAGACAAGTGAAGCCGATCCTTTGACCAAATATATGCTAAACAGTTGTGGTATCTCTCCTTCTCTCTTGGGCTATTCACCTTTCCTATATCCTCGTATCACGCCTTCACTACCACTTTTTTTTCCCTGCTTATTTAAATGTAGTGTGGTGTGCCCTTTTGAGCGGCTTTCATGAGAACCCTCTAAACTCCACGTTAGCTTTCTCCCCTCCTCCTTTCAGCCTTGTGCTGGGAATCTGGATCAGAGTCTGCAATATTATTACGCAATCGTCCTTCCCTAGGTCTTATCAGACTCTCTCTCTTGCCCCATAGGATCCGTCTGCTATCTCCCTAGTTCAAGTATTTCCCTCGACCCCTGCCACCCCATCTGTGCCCACCGAGGCGATATTTCACACACTTTGCGTCTGCGAGACTAGCTTGAGGCAAAATTTCCTGCGTAATTGTCATGGTCAAGCCTTTGCTATGGTAAAACGGACCTACTGTTAGCCAACTAGCTCTAGTCTGCGCCGCGTCTATCCTGTTTCTATCACTAATAGCAAGTATATGATTTGCTATGCCCTAGTCTCTTGTGTGCCAACCCACAAATATTGTGGTACTGCTTGCGTTGATTAGGTTCAAGGTTGAACCACAAGATTTGTGGGTTGGCGCACAAGATACTAGGTCATAGCATGTCTTAGACTTGCTATTAGTGATAGAAACAGGATAGACGCGGCGCAGACTAGAGCTAGTTGGCTGACAGTAGGCCCGTTTTACCATAGCCGTGGTCCTTGAAGCAAAGGCTTTACCAAGACAATTACG